CCAATGGAGATAAGCATATCCCCACGATGGTGTGAGTTCATTTGTTTTTTTGTCATTGCGTAGTATGTATACTTAAATGAATTTGTAATCTTGAGCCATTTATCCAAGAATTTCGCAATGAGGCTGGATACTTTTATGAGAGGCCTGCATTGTGATGTATGGTCAATTCTATTCTTAAGGAGTTTTGTATGTAGGAGGAAACCAGAGGACCTGTGGAAAAGTCATGCATATAAGGGGATAATAAGATGGGGGTCATGGACCCACCTGTTGTACTGCCATCTTCTGGACAGATCATGTGAGTTTCAGAAATCCACATGATTCACCAACTATTGCCTCCAAGCGCTGGATTTAAGGCTTGTACTGCCATACCTGGCTAATGTTTGCGATATGGGATAGCATGCATTGTGGAAACATTGCTTCCGGAGTGAACAGTGGTGATGAAGAGGTGCTAATTGTGCAGGTAATCTTCGACGCTGGCTCGATGTTTCGGAAGCAGTGGGAGTGCCCACATTCTACTCCACCACTATCGACCTGCCTGGTGTACCCATAAAACATTCTGCTGGGTGGGAGAGAGGCCGGGGTATTGAAGAAGCTTGCTCCATTGCCTCAACTGCCGTGCCAGGTGATCGAATCTGCGATCTCTCGATTGATCATTTATCCACAGGAGCAGGGGGATATGATAGCAGAAAAAGAAAAACCGAAAAGTCCCTATAACCAATTGGGACCCATGAGAATCCTAAAAGCTTGAGGGCAACGGCAGAGTTGTCTTTTTTTTCTAATCTTATTATTCCACTTTTGTACTGGAGCTCGGTGTAAAAAAAACTTTCATTTGGGATTTGTCAGATTAATTTCTACATTCCTGTAGCTCGCACAGCAAAAGGGTGGGCCCCATCTGTGAGCCAGAACGATACCACTCCCGGAATGTCAATGCTCCGCATATTAAAAGAGCATTGCTGGACTGAAAAATAAAATACTGTACAAGTTATAAAATGCACCCAAGCCAGTGGTGGAAATTCCACATTTATATGGTGGGGGCAGTCACTGTTGAACTACCACTCTTGACTTTCCCAAAATTAGCACGCATTTTTATCAACGCCAGAAGGATGATGGGGGAGTTGCATTTGCAAGCTGCTGATTGCGAGTCACATTCCCTCGCCATTGTGCCATTGGGCCAGATCATAAACGGCAATAAAATACAGTAATTTTGCATATTTTTTTTTCATTAAAGGTGGCAACGTGTTCTCGCTGTGAGTCTCTGCAATGTGCCTTGACAATGTAGCATTCGGCTCCCCACCGCTGTCCATTACATTTATAGCGATCAGCGTGGCCCAGCCTCGTCGAACGACTTTGCGCTTCATACGTCTGTCTTTGCCTCTCGCTGTGGTCGCCGTCCGCTTCGCACGCTCCGGCGCGGTCTGATTAACGGCACCGCTGCGATTCACAGTGGCCGGGGCAAGGAGGGTGTTGCCGTTGAGCTGAGTCTGGAGTAATGGAGAGCTGTCCTGTGCGTATAAAAAAAATCCGCAGATGGATGCGAGACGGACCAGGTTCATCGTAACGCTTTAGCGTTGGTCAATGACTGTGAGCGAAATGGAAGCGTGGACGGATGTCTTGGTGGCTTGACTGTGTTGGTGAGCGATGCGGGCAGCTATACGAGCTGATGGACGATTTCCTGAATTTATTAACGTTTGAGGAGCAGCATGGTTCGGGGAGATGTATGCATGTACAGTACAGTATAACGGATAGGTGGTGGATAACTAAAAATAGTATATTTTAATAGTAATAGCGATCATGTATTTTATTTGGCATTCATAACCACTGGAAGACTTTGACTTTAAACACTGGAATATGCTGTCCATTCTCTTTGTAATTCTTTTTCACCTTGCCTGAAGCTTCACTTTGCAGTTTATCTCTTTAACTTACGATGTGGGTTCACGTGTATACATTTGAGCAATTATATTCTGTATGTAAATATTAAACCTATTATGTATATATTTTTTAAACATCTCCAAAGTGTGATGTTGTTCATTGGTGGCCTTGACGCACTGCTGGAAATTCAACGTTCATCTGGCTGGCACAATGTCCATAGAGGAAGCTGCTGCCGCCGCTGACTTCCGATGCAGTGGTCTTAGAGAATAATTATTTTATCGACTTCTGACTAGGATTCGAACTCCGGTTCGTCCCATTGCGAGTCAGGCACTCCGTGCCACCTGGGCCAGTTCTATTCTTAATTAATAAACTGAATGAATAATGCGTGTTTTTCTATATATTTTTTATTTGTGCATACTACTTGATATATAATCTAGATTTGAATTTTTCGTGACTGCAGCGATCCATATTCTTTGATTCTTTCGGTAAAGTCACATATGTATGAAATAAAATAAATTAAATCACGACGTTTTGGGCGCAACACAAGCATCCGTCATCAGGTGGGACAACCACAGCAAGCAATTGTTTCCTGCTGTGGTTGTCCCACCTGATCACGGATACTTGTGTTGCGCCCAAAACGTCGGCATTTAATTTATTTCATTTTATACCTACGTGACTTCACTGCTATATAATATATAACATGAATGAAGTCATGAAGGAAAAACTTTAACGTGTGCAAGGAAGCACGGAGAGTTGCATGCTTGTGAATACATTAAGTGACAAAAAGAGGAACACGTGAATTAGAGAACATGAGGTTCAAGACATCATTATAACCATGAAATAAAGTAAGTGGGCTTGGGTAGGAGATGTCAAGAAGCGATGCTGACCAATGGTGAAGAACAGTGAAGTGGCAGGCAGGAAATAGAATGCATCCCAGAGCAAAGCCATCGAGGGAATGCAGCAAGGGAAGGTGCTGGCTGGATTGTCTGAACGTGGAATCGTGACAGATAGTGGCATCTTGGGCAGGCCTTCATCCAGTAGTGCATTGACCATGGCTGATGTATTTTCTTTTTTGCTTTTAAGTTGGCATCTGTGCTGCATTTGGTTGCTTCAATTTGGCTCCCGATACTTTGCCCTTCCATCAAACCCCAGCGGTTAAAATCCTACGAGGCTTTTTGAGCAAATAATAATAGTCACAACACATGCCGAGGGCAGATGAGTGCACTGGAGAAACCAAAGAAAAATCCATCTCTTTTGCCCATAAATAAAGATAAAGGTGCAACCTGCAATTTCCATCTCGCACCATTGTTGTGTGTATGAATGTTGAACTTATTTTGCACCGTACGTAGCTAACCGTGCTAATCTGAGGTGTGGGGGAAGGACAACAACATAAACGCAAAAAGCAATTCTAAAGAAATTAGTTTTTAATCTAGATTTAAAAAAGAGCCTCCAATAGAGGTAATCTCTCACGAGCCCTTGGAGAGAGTATTCTTCCACACTGGCATGCTGACCAAACCAAATGTAGTGTCCCACCTCTGCCGGGCGGATAGAGGTAGGGAGATTTTGAGGAGCCTGCTCCCTTGTTTCAACTTCCGTGCACGAGCAGATCGAACCGGCGAACCTCTGGATTGCAAAGTCCAGTGTGCTGACCGTTGCTCTCCTGTGGCTTCTGCCTAACGGGTTTCATTGAATTCCGCACGGGAGCTTGTGTTCAGGGCGGGCGGAGGAAGGAAAGCGGTAGTGCCATTTTTTTGTCGCAGCGTATGAGCGTCGTGCGGGGCGTAGATTTCTGCACGCGTTATTTACAGTGCTCATTACTCTCGCTGTGGAATGGACGGTTTGATGGATGGATTCGAACATTGTTGGAGCCAATTTCACACCCGTGAGCTCGGCGATCTCGCTACAGCGGAATACGGGGGGGAAATTTAAGCGGCGCGCTTCTTTGATTGGTCGTGTTTGTTTGTTTGTCTCGTTGCGGTTGACGAGCAGGCCCGAGTGAAATGCATTGCCTTCAGCTTTACATGCTGATTACGACGGTTAACCCCACGGTAAAGCGTGAGGCAAATAAATTAGAGTAATGGTCTGAATCAGTTGTACGGTGCCATTAAACAGTAAAGAGGATCGAGTAAACATGACTGAAAAAAACAGCGCTGATCAATCACGCTCAAAACCAATGCAGCCACTGGCAGTGGAGTTGGCTGCATTGGTAGCGTGTACAGTTCACGTAATACACTTCCACGACATGCTCAGCTTTTTTTGTAAAAAAATCAATTTGACATGCACACATGTAGTCCACAAACCCTCGCCTCCAAATCTACGACTGCAACCATTTGACTTCTCGCTTACTGGTACACAATTGTGCTCCACATTTTAATGACTCCGGTGCGAAGATGGGCCGTGCCTGTCCCCTCATTCTGGATTCGGCCCACTGTGCATTGTGGGGGGTCTACGTAGAACTGGGGTGGCACAGCCCTGCAATTACTTGCGCACACCGCTGCTGGCGGAAAGGCCTCTACCGGTGGGCACCGCGGTGGCGAGATGTTAACTCCCTCGCCTGCTATGGAGGAGACCACCGTGGGTTCGATCCCTGACCCTGACGCCTGTACATTTGGAGTTTGCATGGTCTCTCTCTCTCTCTCCCGCCGTGGTTGTGTGTGGATCTTTCTCCGGGTCCTCCGGTTTTTCCCTCCCACATTTAAAGACATGCATTTAGAGTATTTTGGCTGCTATACATTTCCACGTGATAAACCGCTTTGTTGCGCTATCATTCGTGGTTTATAGTTTACCTTTGAAGTTTTGTTTGGCCTCCTGTTCCACACTAGCTAGATGTTTTTGGAAGCGTTTGGAGTACCCACGGTCGACGGTGGGGGTGGTAGTGGGGGTAGCGGTGGGGTTGGCGTTGGGGGTGCGGGCTAACAAACGGGCCTGCCGTGTTGTGGGAAGTCACTGAAGCCCTGTGTGCTGACCATTACATCACGTCGGTAAACGGAATTGAGACGCAGATTAAAATCAATCCTCGCCACCAACATTGCTGTTTCTCTGTTTATAGTGGTGTCGGTCAATGCAGCGATTTGAAATGTGCTCCGCCACGTGCCTGACCGTGCGCTCTCTCCCTGCTGCCGTGCCGGCAGACCTGCTGGTGGACATGCTGGGCGTGCTGGCGAGCTACAGCATCACCGTGCGGGAGCTGAAGCTGCTCTTCAGCATGCTGCACGGGCACGACGGAGTCTGGGTACGGTCACACCGAGAGACGTGCGGGTGGACGCGGGCGGGAATCGCTGGCTGCGTGTGCAGATGCCATTGTGGAGGTTATCGCAGGGGTAGTGTGGGCAGGGGCAGTGGTGGTGGGAGCAGTAGCAGTGTGGGGGCAGTGCAGCGGTGGGTGGGAGTGGTTGTAGTGGCAGCGCTTGGTTACTGCGTGTCCAGGCATTCCCGCAAACGCACAGAGGAACGTGCATGTGAATGCGTGCCCGAAGGGGAATGTGCACATTGGAAGCCTGCATCAAAGTAAGCACTGGATCGGTGGTCATCTCCGCGAGCGGCCCTGAAGCCAGTTGTGGAAATCCCACCGATCCAGGAGTTGATTTCATCACAAAACGGGTACCTATTTTATTGACTCCGATCTGACGATTGCATCGTCCCTGAACCTACACACAACTTAAACCCATGGCCGCAACGTCGCCAGTTCATATCAGCTTGGAGTGGTGAACCGCGTGTGCCGAATTACATTTTTTTCGTTCTTTTCACCCCACGCCTCCCGTCGTGTGCCCCGTTGTGCCGGTATGGTCTCACGGTGGGGCTTTGCCGTCCTCGTTGTGGTGGAACGCGTCCTCCTGCCCGCTCGCCCACCTGCTCGCTCAGCCGCGCCACGCCATCAAGCTGCTCACGGTGCTCACGCAGATGACGCAACGTCAGGGCCCGGATACCTTCTTCAACTTCCCCGGCCGCAGCGCTGCCGTGAGTGGCTCGCATATGCCGACACGCATACACTATATGTATATAACATATATATTGTACGTTTGCCCACTGACAAAGAAATGATCAGTCTATAATTTTAATGGTAGGTTTATTTGAACAGTGAGAGACATAATAACAAAAACAATATCCAGAAAAACGCATGTCAAAAAGTTATAAATTGATTTTCATTTTAATGAGGGAGATAAGTATTTGACCCCCTCTCAATCAGAAAGATTTCTGGCTCCCAGGTGTCTTTTATACAGGTAACTAGCTGAGATTAGGAGCACACTCTTAAAGGGAGTGCTCCTAATCTCAGCTTGTTACCTGTATAAAAGACACCTGTTCACAGAAGAAATCAATAAATCAGATTCCAAACTCTCCACCATGGCCAAGACCAACGAGCTCTCCAAGGATGTCAGGGACAAGATTGTAGACCTACACAAGGCTGGAATGGGCTACAAGACCATCGCCAAGCAGCTTGGTGAGAAGGTGACAACAGTTGGTGCGATTATTCGCAAATGGAAGAAACACGAAAGAACTGTCAATCTCCCTTGGCCTGGGGCTCCATGCAAGATCTCACCTCGTGGAGTTGCAATGATCATGAGAACGGTCAGGAATCACCCCAGAACTACACAGAAGGATCTTGTCAATGATCTCAAGGCAGCTGGGACAATAGTCACCAAGAAAACAGTTGGTCACACACTATGCCGTGAAGGACTGAAATCCTGCAGCGCACGCAAGGTCCCCCTGCTCAAGAAAGCACATTTACATGCCCGTCTGAAGTTTGCCAATGAACATCTGAATGATCAGAGGACAACTGGGTGAAAGTGTTGTGGTCAGATTAGACCAAAATTGAGCTCTTTGGCATCAACTCAACTCGCCGTGTTTGGAGGAGGAGGAATGCTGCCTATTACCCCAAGAACACAATTCCCACCGTCAAACATAGAGGTGGAAACATTATGCTTTGGGGGTGTTTTTCTGCTAAGGGGACAGGACAACTTCACCGCATCAAAGGTACGATGGACGGGGCCATGTACCGTCAAATCTTGGGTGAGAACCTCCTTCCCTCAGCCAGGGCATTGAAAATGGGTCGTGGATGGGTATTCCAGCATGACAATGACCCAAACACACGGCCAAGGCTACAAAGGAGTGGCTCAAGAAGAAGCACATTAAGGTCCTGGAGTGGCCTAGCCAGTCTCCAGACCTTAATCCCATAGAAAATCTGTGGAGGGAGCTGAAGGTTCGAGTTGCCAAACGTCAGCCTCGAAACCTTAATGACTTGGAGTGGATCTGCAAAGAGGAGTGGGACAAAATCCCTTCTAAGATGTGTGCAAACCTGGTGGCCAACTACAATAAACGTCTGACCTCTGTGATTGCCAACAAGGGTTTTTCCACCAAGTACTAAGTCATGTTTAGCAGAGGGGTCAAATACTTATTTCCCTCATTAAAAATGCAAATCAATTTATAACACTTTTGACATGCGTTTTTCTGGATTTTGTTGTTGTTATTCTGTCTCTCACTGTTCAAATAAACCTACCATTAAAATTATAGACTGATCATTTCTTTGTCAGTGGGCAAACGTACAAAATCAGTAGGGGATCAAATATTTTTTTCCCTCACTGTATATACGGTGACGCTGCCGCTGGCAGTGGCGCGCGCAAGCACAAATAACAAAAATTCAACACGTTAGTCAATTAACACTGCCTAGGGTAAAAATATATATATTTTATCAGTGACGTTTTGGCACCTGACTGTGCAATGAAGAAGTCACCCATTGCATATGTGTTCCTTCAAGGCCGTGTTATGCACGAATGTGTTAACAATATGCACGGTATGTATTTTGTGCAGTTGAAAATCTCTGAAGCTTTTACACTTTGTAGCATATACCCTTTATCTTCCATAACCCAGTTTTCAACTGTACAGTTCAAGCTGCTGTCTCATTCTCATGATTAAACGATTGCCGATAATTTTCGTGGACGTGCTGCGCACTGTGTATTCATGATGGAATTTCCCTATTAGCCTCCTATAAATTTGGACCAAGGGCTGTCAGCAAGCACCTATTAAGGTTGTGAACTGGCATGTATATGATAATTGGTTCTTTACCCTTCTATCTGGCAACAAAACTGACACCTTTTTATAAGGAGTCATGTTTGCATAGACCGCAATACCTGCAGTCATAATACAAACAAAAGAACATAACTCTGATAATGTGCACTGTCCTTGAAGTTGATTGGTCCACACCCGAGACAGCTTTCCTTCGAGCCTAGTCTCATATGGGTTGGACCAGATGACGCCAAAAGGCGCACAACTCAAGGACAATGCACCATCAGAGTATGAGAGCTCGGGGCAAGCATCTACACTATGGGGACCTCATTTGCCAGTAAAAAATATGATAATTGGTTCTTTACCCTTCTATCTGGCAACAAAACTGACACCTTTTTGCAAGGAGTCATGTTTGCATAGACCGCAATACTCTGATGGTGCATTGTCCTTGAGTTGTGCGCCTTTTGGCGTCATCTGGTCCAACCCATATGAGACTAGGCTCGAAGGAAAGCTGTCTCGGGTGTGGACCAATCAACTTCAAGGACAGTGCACATTATCAGAGTTATGTTCTTTTGTTTGTATTATGACTGCAGGTATTGCGGTCTATGCAAACATGACTCCTTGCAAAAAGGTGTCAGTTTTGTTGCCAGATAGAAAGGTAAAGAACCAATTATCATATTTTTTACTGGCAAATGAGGTCCCCATAGTGTAGATGGCATGTATATGTTGTAGGGGTAGTGTAGCCCACACCACACTGGGCCACTTGTGTCTCACCCGTGTTGAGGGAGGCTCAGGTGAGGTTCACACAACAAGTATCGGTGTTGTGCATGTCCAACAATTGGACCTGGTTGTGTGGGATAATCACCATTACTCTTCCATTCCCCCCCCCCTTCTCATGTATGGTAGGATGCATTTACATGGAACTCTAAGAGGGATTGTTTATTAAACATTTGTATTCATTTCAATGAATACAGTTATGTAAATCAGAAATGTTCATTATATTTCGGTTGATTTATTTTGAGAATGCCCAAGCGTAATAGGATTTGCACGCACACCAAAAACAAGTCTGCGTGCCACCCTGCTCACGTGAGCATTAGGTAGTGGCTCATCTCCATCTTGGTAGCCTTCGGCCAGTGGTGAAAATTCCACGTTTCTATGGTGGGACCTTGCTGAATTCTAGGAAGCACTCATTGTTGGTTGGCTACGTACTGTGCAAAAGAAGTTCAACATAAATTGTTGATCTCCCACAAAGCGGTGTACCCATGTTTGTGAGCACAGAGGGATAGACTGAATCTAATGTGTCCTTTGCGAGTTGATCATTCTGCTATGGCCCCAGATTTGCCACATTTCTCTACGTAAATTCACGGTCGCTGAGGGTCGGGCTGAGAGGGCCCCAAACACCAAGCAGGCCAGTAATAAACGGCACTATCGAAGGTGTAATAGAATTTCAGCAAGGTGAAAAAAGAGCACTTGGACAAAATGTACGATGGGAAGCAATTCATATGTGGAGCAGTGCGAGGGAAGAAGCAGAACGAGAGAGGTGGGGTGACCTGCAGTGTGGTGACTGAACACGGTACGTGTGAGATTAGATATACACATACACACATTTACTTGGAAAATATCATTTTCTCAGCTAGCAGCTGAGATTCTAAGTGACATTATCTGGAATCTTGCAGGACCTCAATCATAGCTATTCCATTTTCCCCTAGCAAGGGTGTGAGGAGTAATGTGATTGGTACGCGTTTATTAGGTAGCAGAAACATCGTAGGGAGTTTAAAGGGCCTGAAATTTATATAATGTAAAATTATAAATCAATGTGCATATGTGCTAGACTGGTAATAAAGAAGCATTGGTACCATATTAAAGTTACGTGATAAAAACTATAATCATGAACTTGGGCTTTTTTCTTTTCGTCTGAACGATGTTAAAATATGAACATTTCACATCGGTACAATAAAATCTACATTTTATAGTCTAGATTTAATTAAGTATCCCAATTAAGTATCCCAAATAAATAGATTTGAAGCACTGGTGTCAATACAGTAATGAAGACATTCAGTGTATGGTGAGCAATGTCTATTTATGCTGGTAATTAATGATTCATATTGACGATTGTGGTGATGGATGGATACCGAGATGGATACCTTATCTATGCTATAATGTTACTGAAGATTGTCCCTGGTGATTTTAACCTTTTCCCGTTCCGAGACGTCTGCAAATTGCTGAATCTCGGGAACGCGTAAGTGGTTAGCATTAACTATGTTTAGAGATGCATGTTTTTAAAGACATTGCACTCACCGTAGAGAACTCTAGTGACACGATGATAGCTGGCGCCAAGCTGTGTCCAATGCCCTCCTGCATGGCCTTGTGGGATCCTCGGGACTGGTGAAGTTATTTTGTTGGTTTTTCTTCCGATTCCGTTCCGATGATGTATGACCTCTCGTGAACCTGCTTACAACTAAGATTAAAAGCCAAAACATCTTCTGTTATCCCAAAGGCATCAGATGTGGGGCAGTGCTCCTTTCATTGGTGGCCACGATCCAGCAGTGAACACTCCTCATTCTTATGGCAAGGACCAGTATCTATATAGGACAACCACTTTTTTCTCATAAAAAAGTCATATCTATCTTATTAGCACCAAAGGAATGTGGCGTTGAATTAACCCCTTACTAGAATTCTTTCCGATGATGTACAATTACGTTATCGGAATGGGAAAGGGTTAACATCCCACTCTGGGCTGCTGCTCCACGCTCCATAGCACACGATGAGAATTGCATCCCCATTTTGGTTCACTTCAAAATTGTCGACTTTTGTCATGCGGGTGAGCAAAACAGGATTCATAATCCCCGTATCTACGGTTCAGTAGCTGTATGTATTAAAGGGATTTTTGATTTTACACTTCCTATTTTGCCAAACTTCTCAAGACGATGGAGACACTGTGAAGAAGAAAGTCTAACATTCCTTGTTTTAAGTTGTGAAGAAATATCGCGCATAAATGTGTGGCCAGTGGTACACTCACATCCACATTGGTTAGTTTGACTATAACGGAACACTCACTTTTGCCCCTATCGAGTTACCCCAGAAGCCTTAACTTAGTGCTGAGATGAAATTGAACTTAGGTCACTGAGACAGGAGAACGCTTGACTTTAAATTAAATTCTAATATGGCTTGTGAACCTTTGCCACTTCACGAGAAAAGTCAAGTGGACTGGCACAGGCAAAGCCATCTCATTACCCTTTAGGGTGTTGAGAATTCAGCATAAGAGACCACTGCAACTAAATATATACATCAAAATGACAAAAAATGTATCTCCTTAGTATCTCTTTCTCCCTCTATTCCATTATCGCTGTATTATTTGCCATTGTCAATGAGTTGTTGTTTTGACGTGCAAGCTGAGAATTTACAATTAAGAGTTGCGAATCAATCGAGATCAGGTCTTCGTGTTCGTTGTTAATTTGTGTCCCTCCTTGCTCCCTGCGGATGTGGCCAATCTTATTCTATTAAGTCAACCTCCATCTTTCCTCGTGGGAATCCCACTGTGTACGTGCAAGGAGCTTGCAGTGTGTCACTTGACACACTAGTATGGAGAAATGACGCTCCCAACAAATGATTCATTATTAAGAAATGCTCAACCCTATCGTGCTGTCAGCGGCAATTTCTTTCTTTATAAATTTAGTGTTGTCAGTAAAACACAATTAAATTATGTAACTACACCTCTCAATCCACCGTGACAATCATCACGAGAGATAGGTATTATTAATAATAACTACTTTTTGTCTTACCAGGTAAGGCCCACTGAGATAGAAAGGTTTTTTTTTCAGAAGCGACCTGGCCACAAATCATAGCTCAATGAAGTGGCTTATCATGTGGACATTTATACCAGCCGAATACTCGAAACACATGTTTCTAAATATGGAGGGAAAAACCAGAGGATGCAGAGAAGAATCCATGCAACCACGGGGACAACATGGAAACTCCAAATATAAAGGCGTCAAGGTTTTCCTGTATGCCAGCAGAGATAGTTAACATCTCGCCATCATGGCGCTCTATGAATATGCACTGCTCCTCTGAGCTTAGGAACTTGTGTAAAATATAAAAATGGTAAGTAACATTTATGCGATTGGTGATTTTGCTGTAATAGTTGATGCCCACATTTTTTTAGCTGTTGGGGTGACTGACTGGTAGATACATAAAAATGCCTCTAAATCGTACCGTCCGCAACCATGTCATAATTCAAATCTTCCATTTGTCAAATTACCAATCTGCTTTGGCTTTGATGGATTATGTGTTGGCGTTGAATTGCTCACTGAATCTAATTGTACATATCATTATCTTAGAAAGTAGATGCTGTATTTCAACAGGAGTACCACTTATTTATCTGAAGAAGATAATAATTAATTTGCATAGTGGCAGATTAACTGTACCGCGTAATAATTTTCAGTGGCCCAAATGCCCTCTCATGAACCTGCTTATAACTAAAATTAAAAGTGAAAGTCAAACATCTCCAGTTATCACATAAGCATCAGATGTGGGGCAGTGCGCATTTGATTGGTGGCCACGACCCAGCAGTGAACACTCCTCATTCTTATGGCAAGGACCAGTATCTATATAGGACAACCACTTTTGTATTATAAAAAGAAGAAACTAGTATCTATCTTATTGGCATCAGAGGGATGTTGAGTTGAATTAACCCCTCCCTAGAATGTTTTTCCTGACACTCTCCTGCTGTCGCGAACACAATTGCTCCCTGGCTGGGTATCATTGAAATTTACAATTATGCAACGGGGCTACTTGGCCTTTACTGCTGTTTACATGCTGGCATTGACAACAACTGAGTACTGTAAAGAAACTGGCCAGACCCACTTGAGCTCGCTCCTATTAAAGCGTGTCACCGCAGTCAATGGTATTGATGGCACCACATCTTACGATGGCTTGCTTTCTTTTTTCCCAGATCCCACGGCTTTTGCATGGTCAACATCTGACCTCCTAAAGGTCCAATCTTATATGGGAAAAGCGGTTCACTCCGAATTTAGTCCAAAATCTGGCTTCCAATTTCCCCCTTGGTCACTGTGTGCCATGGTGGAGAGATGTTAACTACCTCGCCTGGTATATAAAAGGTCGTGGGTTCGATCCTGACCCTGACGTCTGTATATTTGGAGTTTGTATGTTCTCCCCGTGGCTGCTTGGATTTTTCTCCGGGTCCTCCAGTTTTTCCCCCCACATTTAGAATCATGCCTTTAGAATATTTGGCTGCTATACATTTCCACATGATAAGCCACTTCATTGAGCTATAATCTGAAAAAGAGATATATAGCTCAGTGGGCCTTACCTGGTTAACATTTTTTTATTCTTTAGTTTTTTATACTGGCCTCAGGGTGCTCCTCCATCCTGCACCCGTGCCCCCGCAAACCTCTCTGTCTAATTATATCTGGAGAGCTTTCCTACAAAATATTCGGTCCTTTAACTTAATAATTATACTAATTATTTAATATTTGACCAAAACTATGCACCATTATTTTATTATTTTCAATGGCTGGAATGTGCTGGACCATGGGATTGGAACAGGGAGAGGGGAAATATTTAATTACAGTGAACCTCTAACCAGAAGTTGAACATGCCATCTACTCATTGAGAGCTTAGGGCTCTAGGCACAGGGCCATCTTAGCTGGGTTAAGATTTTCGCAACAGAAAAAACAAATCAATTCAGTGGCGCTGTGCCAAAATGACGATGAGGCCTGTGCACTTCTCTCTCAGTGGTCTTGAGCCAGTGGAATAATTTCCACAGTCCTATGGCGGGGGGGGGGGGGGGCATATTGTCAATTGTACCACTGCTATTAACCATTGCTGGTAGAAGGGAACCAATGCAGTTGTGTTAGGGCGTGGAATCCCTCAATAATTGGCCAGTTTCGTGGACATCCCGGGCTGCTGATTCCCTTCTATTGCTGCATTTAATTAAGTTGTAATAATTTTACTAAATACATCTACAGTATAACTCTAAAAATGCCCTTTTGTGTGCCAATTAGACCAGAACCCTTTGTACTAAACAAAGAGTTTCTCCAAAGTGATTTGGTGACATTTGCAAATGGATTGAACGCCGTTATGCATCGGAGCATCGTGCCGTAAATGTGTGTGTGTGTGAGGTACAATTTTATTTGTCTTGCATCAACTGTGCCCGGTAATCGGTGGGCTGGAGCAGAAAGCGTGGCTTTAAAATTGTGTAGTTCATATGCGGACATTCCATGCTGTTCCCTCAGGAATGTGGTATAGCTCTAATTTGCAGACACACAGACATGCATAACACATTTTCTATATGTGTACAACAAAAGTTATACTTTATGTTTGTTTTTAATGCAAGTCAAAGTGTCTGGTATGTGCTTGAGTTTAAATTTAGGCGCATATGAATCGTGTTTTCAGGTTATGTATTCGGTTTATGCATTCCTAAGCAGTCGTGGTTTTTCATGACTGCATATTTTACGAAAAATGGCTTTCGATAACGTGGTCATAAGGAATCCATGTTTACGTGATAGAAAAAATGGAGAGAAAAAAATTATTGTTGGAAATGATCACATAACCATTTAAAGACCTTTCGCAAAACTCAATACCATACCAGAATAAGGAGATAAGGGTGGCTGATCGAGATTAAGGGAGAGAGATGATGAAATTATAGGAAATAATTGTTTTGTACGCTTTGATTTGGTTAAAATACCGTTCATCTTTCCTGATAGTTCGTGTAATTCCTTTGCTGTATTGCTGTATCATCATTAGAAAGGTATGCATGGTTGCAAAGCAAGAATATTTTACCGGTAGAAAATGTCTGTTATTCAAAGGAAAAACGTATCCCATTTTCTGCCACTGTTGTCGACTTCTGGGAATTTAACAGTAGTGTTTTTATCATCGCAAAATTTACCTTTTTTGCTTGCAGACTTTACACAAAACCTTTTATGTGAAACATTTTGGCAGCTTCACAGTAGCGGCAGCACTACTAAAATAATGTCGTCCCATACGGGATGAGACCACGAGTCTCTGTAGCTTGCTGTGCGCATCCCATTCTGTCAACAGGCGATCGCCCTGCCACCCATTGCCAAGTGGCCCTACCAGAATGGCTTCACCTTCAATACGTGGTTTCGCATGGACCCGCTCAACAACATCAACGTGGACAAAGACAAGCCTTACCTGTACTGGTACGTGCGGACCACTATTCCACGCGCACACTTTTGTTTGTGTGGAACGGTATCGACAAGGCTTGAGACGTCTGGCAAAAACATAACCAAGCTTCAGCATGCACAACATTCTCTGGCACGTACCGTGACGGGTACTGCAAAATCCAACCTGTGTCCATCCAATGCTCGGTGAGCTGCATTGGCGTCTGGTTGCCGAATGAATACATTGTGAGGTCGCACTCATTACACACAAAGTGTTTGACACAAATGAAACACAAAACCTTGCTAATCTCGTCAAGGAGCATAAACCATCATGCAAACTCTGGTCATCATCGCAGCAGCTTTTGGCTAACCATTGAACAAGACGGTCACTGCATCATGCACTTTGAGGTGCGCATCTGCGACCGTCTGGAACTCTCTTACTTCCGATATAAGAAAGCCACTGGAAATATACATTGTTAAATCTAGATTGAAAACTCATTTCTTTTTATGTTTAGTTTGACCGTACCCCGCACCTCATATTCGCACAGGTTGGCTATGTACGGCAAGAAATAAGTTTAACATGGACAGTGGTGCACAAGCACCTTCCTTTGTCAATGCGCCCAGCTTATATATATGCTCCAAGCTCGTGTGCTGTTTCATTCAGACTCTGTCGCCTCGACGGACCTGGTTTTCACCTGAGGACGGCTGCTTGCGTTGTGGCCGAAACGTCGTGAGAATTGTTTTATTATGTTTTATTTTTATTATTTTATTACTTCCCTTCTACGTGACTTTACCGAAAGAACCAAGAACAAGCACACATCAATTGACAGAAAGCTCAACGCATCTGTCAATAACACCAGTGCACTAAAATAAAAAAATATATATATTGGCCTCTCTTCTTCGCAGTAAATGATGATCTCGAAATTTTACTATTGTCCAAAACCTTCCCTATCCCTATTGTGTATTGATGGATATTACTCGTATATGTCTATCCTTTTAGGGCAATGTTATTGAGGAATACGTTGAGTTGGCTTGTTTCAGGGGAAGGGGCCACCCATAAAAAAATGAGGTGGATGGGAGATGAGGAGATGGCGGTACATGAATGAGCTTCCAGAGCCTTCTGTGCAGAGTTGTCAGTGGTATCCCTTCGTGTGTGTGTTTTCTCTCTGGGTACTTAGGTTTCATTGAAGTAAATTTTATTTGATGTCAAGAGCCGTGAGATGACTGTTTTTGATGTGCAGAGTGCACGATATGAAAAAAGACCGATTGATTGATTTCCTCCTACCTTTCTTAACATCCCAATGCAGGACTCTGGTGACAAAACGAGTCTTGAGACGCAGTGGAAGCTTCTTTATAAATTGCAAAGACATCTCATTATCTGTGACACGATGGTGATGATTGACGAGGATGATGACAATGACGAAAAGCGGTGCGTGTGTGTGCGCGCGCACGTGCTTGTGGGGATCGGTCGTCTAGTGGTTGGCGCCCTCCGCTACAAACCCGACGACCCGAGTTTGATTCCCGCTCATGGCTAACACCAGTGATGATTATCTGAACCAGTCCTCCCCTAGGTCGTTAACAGCACTTTCCCCAACAGTCTGTTAAGGCTATACGGGGAATCTTTGTCTTTGTCTACCGTTTGGTGAGGCTATAACGGGTGATCTTTGTTTCTGTCTCGTGTCTAGCTTCAGGACAAGTAAGGGCGTGGGTTACTCGGCCCACTTCGTCGGGAACTGCCTCATCGTCACATCGCTCAAATCCAAAGGGAAGGGCTTCCAGCACTGTGTCAAGTATGACTTCCAGCCCAGAAAGGTAACTGCATCCCCCTGCAGACCACATCTATGGTTCGTTAACCCCGCCCTCCACCCACACACTTTCAAAGCGCCGTTGGCGTTGAATCTGCAGCAAGGGCCGGCGCTCACGAACGCGTGAGCAGAGGTCGACCAAAGCGCGCACCCACAGCCACTTAAGCCACTCGCTTGGACACTCGGACACTTGGTCATCATTCTGTTCGTGATCCACCGGGGCTCCGCTCAGCCTGTTGGCAGCATGCAATGGGCTCGGCCTTGACTGTAGGAAGGATGTGTGAAGGTGGAATTTGCTGGTGCATTGAGATGCATGGTTGTGCTCCGTGCCAGTGACATCAAGTAGCAGATTATTTCAGCCGCCGGTGTTGTTTGTCGTTGGTTGAAGCTCATTGTCCTGCCGGGCAGTGCTGTGGTTAGAGAATGGGGTTGTGATGTGAGTCCGAAGGCTGTGCAGCTCACTGTCACATGTGGGGTAAAAATAATACAGTCGTGTCGGAAGTCAACAGTTGTTGTCCTATGCAAAGATTGTCTTCTACCATGGGAATGTAGAAATTCCAACATTGGCTGCTGGCATCAGTCGGAACTGGGTTATATACCTCATTGCTCGTTTGAAGGTGAGGAACACTCAGACACGTCACTTGTGTCGAGATCTAACAGCCAAAAACTACAATTTGGCAGATGTATTTTTCAAAGTCTTCATATAATTTGTTGCTATTATGGCCTTATTGAACTGATATTATTATTGATTGATATAAAAGATAATTTTGAGTTTCTTATTTGAAGGTAATGTGCGGTTATACGATTTCCCACATTTATTTCAGTATTGGCATGAATTCACGTCTCATCAGTGTGGTGACAAACCATAGGACCAGGAAGCCGGGCTCCCGTGTGTTCATTGCCAAACCTCAGAAATTTACGTGGAAGCTTTAATTTACAATGTTGAAGTTTATTGTATGATGTTCAGTCGATCCAACCGTACATATATTGGGTGCCCATGACAATTGCATAACACCACACCCTGCCCGAGCTGTTGTCGCACATCAGTGGAACACCACGTGTGTATTTTGAAGGCTTTATCATAATTCAATTTTTTGATCGTATTCTCTTTTCAGGCGAGGATTGTAGGTGTGTCGTACTGGGTGGTGCCCGACTTAGGATGGATTCCCACCGCTTTTTTGACTTTCGTTGCGACCTTAGAACATGCTCACTCCGCCACGGCGCAACTTAGCCAAGCGGCACGGTCTTACCGTGGCCCCCCATTCGGGGGAGAGTTTCCCAGAGGGGCACGTCCTCCGTTCACACGTTTGCCGCTCGCGAATTTGTATACCCTCCTTTGTGATCATGTTGCGGGTTCAATAAAAACATTAAGAAACAACAAAAAAACGAAGCGGCAGGGTGGCAGCGCAGTGGTAATACTCGTGCCTTGTCGCAAGAAGCGCTTGGGTTCGATTCCCAAATTGGGTGGTTCTCTGTATGAAGTTTATTCTCCACGGGTTTCCTCCACGTTTGCTAGGTTCCTCTCAAAGCACACAAACATCCCAATGCTGATAAATTACCTGCAAATTTGTCAATTTGGGTAGCACACAGGAGCAACATTTCCCTTGGCTCCACCCTTCTTCACGCCACCTCAACCCCGTTTGGCCTGCCGGTTCACGCGGCATTTCAAAAGTACACCATCTAGAATCTGGGACGCCCGTGACTTCACTTAAGCGAGATGTAGGTGGGACGTGGCGCGTTGAGTAACCCAGAGTGAACCCACCTTCACTGTTCACGTTATTGAAATGTCAATCAAGGGTGATCTCACGTTGGTCGTTTTTTTTGAGGCTGCTTAAATGAGTGGTTCCATGGAGAGACTTGCTCCCTCACCATAGCAATGAGGAATTTCCATCGCCGGCTCAAGATTGCCAACGGGGATGAGCGCTGACCCAAATGTGCGTTTGAGCGTGGAGACACTTTAACTCAGTTCCCAGTCAGCTTTCACCCGGTATAATTGAAAAGTATCCATACGCTCGTGCGTTTTGTGCACACAGCCGCGATGCGGCATTAAATATTCTCTCATCTAAACGTGAGGGCGAACAAAGCGTGAGGGTGTTCAATGGAAAGAGCCATTCCAGGGGTCTTGTGCATCCACCGCATGAACCTCTTTTACTCTCACCAATGGTACACCATTGCTCCTACAGCAAGTTCCGCCCACCATGCGTCTGCTGTACAGAGGTCATAGCATTTGAACCGACGGTGTTATTACGGAAAAGAAAGGCTGCAATCGTGGCAAGGCAATAAACCGTTGCAGCAGAGGCACACTCTGAGGGGCTCTTTTCGGTTGGTTGCATTAACATCACTTCGGCGTGACCAGAGAGCTGTGCCTCTTTTTAAAAATAAGGTGATTTCATCAAGGCTGGCCCCGTATGTGATCAGGGGGCCGTGAGTCTAGCTGTTTGGATATATGAGCTGGCTCTGACCTCATCTTGATCTACAAAGTCTGCGAATATTGCGCCTTGCAGCTTGCACGCAGGCAAGCTGCGCGAGTGATGCCGTAGCGTCGAGCTCGGTGCGCAGCAGCAATCCCAGTCGGCGGGCGTCCTTGCCTCTCCGATGTAAAAAAAAAACCCATCATCATCAAGGTGGGCGCTCTTCTCTCCTGGCGCCCACCACTGGCGTGCGGTGGAATCCACGTTCCCATGGCAGGGCCATTTTCCCTAGGAAAATTACTGTTGACTTTGTTACTCACTTTAGTACCAGTAATGGTTATTAGAATTGCAATTACAGCCTGGAGGTTGCCAGTTCAATCTGTCGGTGTGGCAGTTTAAACAGTGGCCATGTTTATTAATTCCTCTGGCTTCTGTCCACCCAAGTGGTATGAATGGGCACATCAGAGTTATCCGATTTGCCGGTTGAGGTTGGTGCGCGTTAAAGTCTGGGTACTTTCACCTCTTCCAAGAAGTCTGGTCGGTGTGAAAGAGTAGGCCAAAATACCCTCCGAACTTCAGTCCTCCGTGCGTGAGCTGGCATATTCCAGGGCTCCACCTTTACCTTCTTGATCCAGAAGGGAGGCACAGAGTAAATCAACCCATCGCCACGAGGTGGTAAACTCGTAATCTTGCAGATGTGAGTCAAGTGCTCAAAGCACAGTGGCACCCAGCGGGATGTAACATGTCTCGATAAGAGATCCGATATACTCAAGCCACTCTTTGTTGTCGAAATGCAATTTTGTTTCCCAGCTACAGGGAAAGTTTTCACAAACGCATCTGTTTACATCACTTACTATCTGGGCATGGGCCACAGCAAGAGTTTCTCCTGTCTGCATACTCTTTGGATCATTCGGTAAAGTCAAGTAGATAGATTTATAGAAAATATATTAAGTATTAATATATAAAATACGTATATAATTATATAATGGTGCCTATGTAATTATATAATAATTCTTAGTTTTCTATCTACGTGACTTTACCGAAAGACCCAAAGAGTATGAATCCCTACAGTCACGAAAGCTTTAAGTCAAGATTTCTCCTGTCCTTGTGTAACCAGCTTGGAAACCCTGTTGCCTCTTCCTGTCATGCTCACAGAGTTATGGCCTTTCAAGAAAAATCAGAAAACTTTCACCATTAGTTGGCTTATCTGCTTCACTGCCTGAACTCATTGTTTCCTGGATTTGCTGGCTCAGGTCCATGACATGGCCCATAAGTCCTTTGATCCAACAAAGCTGCCACTTTCTGTAATTTAATTGAAACTCCGAGGTGGTGGGGGGTCGCAATAAACGCCTAACCCCGAGGTGCAGTTTCGCTGGTGCGGTGCGTCGCGGGGTCAGAGATACACAGAATATTTCTGGATTTTTTTTCGTTTCCTTTAGAATTAAATTATAAGCTGACGGATGAACGATGCTATTGCCTCTTTCAGACGAAATTATGGATATGATAACAGCAGGATTGCTGATAGAACTGCATTTGGCACCGCGTATTATTATTTGTGACGTCGCATACATTGTATGGACAAATAAAATAAATCACACTGATTTATTTTATTTTATACCTATGTGACTTTACCGAAAGAACCAAAGCATATGGATTCCTGCAGTCACGAAAGCTTCAAATAAAGATTGTGTGGACAAGTTGTTGCTTGAGAGGGAATGGAATAAGGAAGCAATGGGGGAGGCTTTCACATCTGGTAGCTCTTGGGCCAATTTTAAGGCAGTGATTTTCTCTTTTGTGCCTCCTCAATGTTTGGGCCAAATAACATTCTGGCATAATGGAACAATAGTTTGTGAAATTGAATCATCACTTCAAATTGGAATGACTCATTTCACGTGAAAATGGAGTTTCGGACAAAAATAAATAAATATAAAACAATAAAAATTCATTGCCAGCAAATGAATGTAGCGTAGTGTCGCTAACGCTGCTTCCTGATAAACACACACCCTCTCTGCTCTGTGCAATAAACATTTCCCACACCACATATAAACACAGCTTGCTTATGTGATTGATACGCTGGCAATACAAAATGAAATGTGCAACAACAGAAATTTGATGTGTTCTTAGCTTCCAACAGGTTTTCGTCACCAATGCGATGCTCCGTATTCATTTTTGGTTGAGGCCACGTGGTAGATTTATGCCAAAATTCTTGCCGTGAACGAGGTGCGTTGATGTTGAATCCAGTCGTAAAAACTTTAATGGTTAGAATTTAATCAATAGATTGGCACCTATAAATAATATCTTTAAACGTGACTCCTGTGGCCTAACCCAGACCTCACGTCGAAAACATTTTGATAAATTAAGAATAAAGATGGAGACTTTGTAAATAAACAAATCCTGATTCGCATTATCCACATTTCCATAGCTGCTGCTTCGATACCTTTCCCAGACTATGCTGATATTGTATAAAAAAGGAACCTCTATAACCACAATGGAGATACAAAATCCTAACTTTCCTTCTGCGTAATGCTTTAATCTTACAAACTGGCCATTTCACTCATCACTGCGATCTGCGCTCCAAGACCAGTTAACTAACTCC